CTGATCAAGCTTTCTTTCCCCACCCTTTCCTCCAGATCAGAGACTCACCTGCAATGACGACCTCAGGAGGGCCTTTGTGCTGTGGTTTTTCAGCTGAAAGTGCCAACTGTAAGTGGGGGGAGTTGGTAAAATCCAGGGCCCCAGGTCTCCTTAGGAGAAAGGCTGATAAGCTGGGTGAGCCTGCAGGTGAGGAAGTGGTGAGACCTCGTTGGCAGGGCAAGGTAAGGCCTGAATTCAGAAATCTGTGGGAGGGAGACAACTGGAATGAGTGAGCTTGACAACTGCATGTTCCTCAGAACTTACTATGGTCATTAAGGCCTCTGACAGGCTCTCCTGCTTCTCTCTGGGATGTGTTCTAAGAGATTCTAAAAGGCAGGTTGATACTGAACCCAGGTTCAACTGCCTGCCACTTGAAAGACCAAATCGAGATCACGGGACTGGTGGGAGGAATGTCGGTTTATTCTAGAGCCTGCAGCTTCAGAAGATGGAAGACTCATGCTGCAAAGACAGTTGTACAAGGGCAGGGGTTTCTGTGAGGAAGAGGAGAGGGGGGAGAACAATAAAGGAGTAAAAAGGAGGGGTTGAGAGTTCTCCACTGAAGGGACTAAGTGCCAGCCAACGCAGTCTGTGCAGATTACTGGTTGAAGGTCAGCAAATCTTCCAGAGATGGAATGTCTGGAGGTTGGAGTCTGCTTCTCCTGAAGTTAGGTCCTAGAATTCTTAAGCGAACAGGCTGTTTATGTGCAGTCATATTTACAGAAATATTGTTAAAATAATGGTGGGGTGGGTTACAAGATGTGTGGCTTAAAGATTTATATGAAAAGATGTTCATTACAGAATTATATGTAATCTAGGATAATAAAAGGGTAATATGCTGATTAGACCAGATGGCTAAACTACCTTCCTGACAAAGCCAGGGCTGCGAGGGCCAAGCCCTTGCATGAATTTCATGCATTGGGTCTTTAGTTGTAATATAAAAATATATGAGACAGCATAGTTATACAACAGTTGAAGAATGGATAAACATCACATTGTCTGACAGTAGAGGGTTTCCAATCCATATGCCTGTTGGCCATCTGTACCTGTTCTCTAGGTAAATGTCTATTCAGGTCCTCTGCTCCTTTTTAAATTTATTGTTTGGGGTTTTTTTTGCTGTTAAATTGTATGAGTTTTTTAATAAATTTTGGATATTAACTCTGTATTGGATGTATCATTGGCTAACATATTCTTCCCTTCAGTAGGTTGTCTGTTTGTGTCATATGGTCCCATTTGCTTATTGTTTATTTTTCTGCCCTTGCTTGAGGACACACATTGAAAACATATATTACTAAGAGAAATGTCAGATGTTCACTGCCTGTTTTCTCCTAGTTTTATAGTTTTGGGTCTCACATTTAATCTTTAATCCATATTGTGTTTATTCTTGTATATGGTGTAAGAAAGTGACCAATTACTCTTTTTTGCATGTATCTGTCCAGTTTTCCTAGCCCCATTTTGGTTAAATTTATTTCTGGATATTTTATGCTTTGTGGGTAAACTTGTAAAGGCGATTTTTAAATTTTCTCCTCCTGATTATTCATTATTGCTGTATAGAAATGCAGCAGGTTTCTAATTTTCTATCCTGCAACGTTACTAAACTCATTGATTGGTTCTGATGGGGGTTTTTTTTGGTGGAATCCTCAGGTTTTCTACATACTGTATCACATTCTTTGAAAATAGTGAGAGTTCTACTTCTTCCTTTCTGATTTGTATGCTTTCTATTTATTTGTGTTTTTTAACTGCTGTGGCCGGGAATTCTAATACTGTGGGAGCACAAGTGGTGAGAGTGGGTGTCCTTGTCTTCTTCCTGACCTTAGTTATAAGAGAATAACTTTTCAGCTTTTCAGCCTTGAGTTTTATCAAAGCTGTAGGTTGAGGAATCATGCTTTTATAAAATTTTTGTTATTATTACAAAATTGGATCCAATTTGGGAATTTAAATTGTATCTACATTCTGGTATTGTAGATTTTACTATGATGAACAGCATTAAATATAAAACTTTGTGTTAATGCCTGATTTTTCTTTAGGAGTAATTCCTTAAAGAGATATTTTTGGGTTAAAGAATAAAACTTTTTAAGGCAAATATATCTCTCTCCAAAATATGACAGAAATATTTACATTCATATGTAGCAAAGTATGTGGTTCCCATTATGATTTATTTAAATTTGACTTATTTTTATTTTGAAATAGTTTATGATCAAGAATAAAAACAATGATAATCCCCCCCCAAATCAGTGGAAATATATTCCCCTCTCTGAAAATTTAAATTTCAAACATTCAGATAATTTAGGAAGTGCAGGGAGCAGAGGACTCCAGCTCCTGCTCTGAGTGCAGTGGGAGCCCCTGAGGCTGAGGAGAGGCGTGAAGTGAGGGAGGCAGGAGCATTCGGGCTGTGGTGTGGAGCAGAGACTGAGGGTCCCCAGTGGAATCGGGGCTCAGAGAGGGGGGTCCTGAGTTAATCAGAGTGAGACGCTGGAGGTGCCAACAGGCTGTCCCGGACGTGTGGGCAAATGGAAGCTTGTGAGCCCATTGGACAGCAGAGCCCAGGACTTCCAGGTGGCCAGGGCCAAGGGACGGACACTTAAGGTTCATCCTCTAGGGCAGCGGTTCTCAACCTGTGGGTTGAGACCTCTTTGGGAGTCAAACGACGCTATCACAGGGATCGCCTAAGACCATCGGAAAACGCATATATAATTACATATTGTTTTTGTGATTAATCACTATGCTTTAATTATGTTCAATTTGTAACAGTGAAATTGGAGGTCACCACAACATGAGGAACTGTACTAAAGGGTTGCGGCATTAGGAAGGTTGAGAACCACTGCTTTAGGGTGATTTTCCATGTTGGAGTCAAAGGTGAAGAGGCTCCCAAACAGAAATTTGAGAGGAGGCTCTGGGGTCACCAGTGATGGGGTTGCACCCGGAGTCGGCCCTTGGAAGACAGAGGTCTCCACGTGAATTCTTCATCTTCCTCCAGGTCGTCATTTCTACCAGCTCCTTCTGGTGGCTCTCTGTCTGCACAACAGCCCACAATGGTGAGGTCACTGGCCTTCCATCTGCTCCAACTCCATGTCTGCCTCACCTTGGTCCAGCTGCTCACGCCCTGCTCAGGTAGGGGCCATCTGCATTTATGTACCTGGAGCAGTTACCTATATGCCCAGTCAGAACCTTGGACTCCTCCCACACCTGGGAGGCCCATCCAGATGGTACACCTGTCAGGACTGAGTGCCTGTCAAGGTGTTTCTTACCTCACCCTTCCTACCTGGGACACCCCCTTACCCTCTGGCCTCCAGCTCTCTCTGATGGAGCACCCCTTTCTGCTGACCAGCTCAGGTTGCTGTGATTGGACCCCCTGAGCCCATCCTGGCCATGGTGGGTGAAGATGCTGAGCTGCTCTGTCATTTGTCCCCGAAGATGAGTGCTGAGACCATGGAGCTGATGTGGCGGCGATCCGGCCTCAGGCAGGTGGTGCATGCATATGCACACGGCAAGGAAGAAACAGAGATAGCAGAGTATCGAGGGAGAACGTCAATTTTAAGAGAGGACATCGCTGAGGGGAAGGCTGCTCTGCGGATTCACAAGGTCAGAGCCTCTGACAGTGGAACCTACCAGTGTTATTTCCAAGATGATGATTTCCTTGCAAAAGCCCAGGTGGAGCTGAAGGTTGCAGGTGAGCCTGAGGCTATTCTGAGCTCCTTCTTCTGTGGGGCCTGGGGACACAGGCTCCAAGCCCACCTCACAGACCTCTGCCTACACCCCAGCAGCTGCTCCCTCCTCCTCCTCTGCTTCTCTGGGCCCTTGACAGACTCCGGTATTCCTGCAGGAAGGGCTCCTCCTGAACCAAGTGAAGACGTCCCTCCTGCAGCCACCAGGGTCTCAGCAGGGATGTGGGGTCAGGGCAGGAAGGCTGAGGATACCTACCCTCATAGGGGGCATACAATTGAGTGGGTTCAGCTGTGTTCCAGGCCGTGGACCTGGGCCCCCCAGGTGCTCGCTGCAGTGGGTCGAGGGAGGCTGAGCAGCAGGGACATCAACTCTGCTGCCAGGTCCTCCAACCAAAGGCCCCAGGATCACTCCTGCAGTTGAACAAGTTGGGTTTGGTACTAGTTGCAGTGAGGAGAACACAGTGTGTGGAAACATGGGGTGTCCCCATGAGGGGGTGTCAGAGAGACTTGGTATCACTTTTGGTGTGATAGGAGATTAGGAGAGGGTTTATGGAAGGAGGGCTTTGCTCTGGATCAGATGCTGTCAGGATGGTGTGGGGTGTAACTGGTCACTCTCACCTACGATAGGGGATGATTGCTCATTGCTGTGGTCTGGACACTGTTTATATTTTATTCTATGTTCAGACCTGATGACTGAGTGGTCTTGATTTGTCCTGACCCATCACAGGGACAAAGCATTCTTGTCTAATGCTGCTGTTCCAAGAAATTGTTCATGTCCAACATCATTTCCCTTTCTCAGGGCACAGCCCTGCCTTGCACAGGAAGGAAGGAAGGTGGGGGTGGGAGGTCCTGGATTTCTCCCTGCAGGGCCTCCTCAGCCAACTACAGTCCCTTCCTGAGACCACACCTCCTCTTAAGAAACTCCTCCTTCCAGGACTAGTTTATTGCATGTCTTCAAAAGGCTTCCTCTCACCTCCCCTTGGGTTAAGAGTTTAGGGACTGATGGTGACAACTCACTGTTCCTGGCCCTGGGTCAGCTCTCTCCCATGTAGTCTAACCCCTTCCACAACCACAAAATAAAAATTCCCGGAGTCCAAAGACCCAAAAAAGAGGTTGTATACTCTAGATTAATGATATCAAGAGTTCACCACCATGACTTTCATACCAGGAAGAGCATGGGCTGCAGCAACAGAACGTGCATATCCTCCCCACCACCTGGCAAAGCCTAAAGCTCGCACAGGACAGGCAGGATAGATAAGGGTCTGGGGTATGACCCTCCCAGTTAAGGGGGAATGACTACATGCATAGGGGGGCGGTGAGGGCCAATTCCAGGAACCAATGCTGGGCAGGAGGAGGGGTCCAGGTGTCTCTGAGGGGATCCATGGGAAGCAGTCTCTGTTCCTGTCCAGATACAGCTGGATCGAGCTCGAGGGTCCATGAGGGTCAGGCAGTGGTCACCTCATGGAACAGTCTCCCGTGCACAGCACACGTGGCAAACAGCTCCTTAGTGAACCCTGCCTGCGTGATTTAGTGGAGTGATCCCCCGTTCCTGATGGGACCCTCACCAACACAGAGGCCTCCCCATGACTCAGGCTCACTCTTCCTTCCCCAGCCCTGGGCTCTGATCTTCACCTTGAAATGAATTACAATGAAGATGGATGGATTCGTGTAGAGTGCACGTCTGCAGGCTGGTATCCACAGCCCCACGTAGAGTGGAGCGGTGAAGGGGGAGAGAGCTTGCCTGCCATGGCAGCACCTGGGGCTGCAGATGGAGAGGGGCCACTGGGAGAAGGAGCCTGAGTGTCTGCTGCTGACCTGGGTCTGTGCAGTGAGCATAAGGCTCAGAGCAGGGACCTGGGTGCCCTTTGCCTCATGAAGCTGTTGATGTCACAGACATTTTCTGAGCATCCCTGCCGCCTCCACCTGGGACAGGCGATGGAGATGGGCAAATGGTAAAGGTCAGCAGACACATGACAGAGTGGGGAAAGTGTGTGCAGACACGTCCTGGAGAAAGGGGCTGAGCTCCTCAAAACATGAAACAGCTCAGTACAGGAATGAACGGTTACCAGAAGGAAATACCTCGGGGAAGGATGTCCAGTCTCACTGAGCAGGGAGACGTTTCCACCTGTGAGATGGGCAGCAAACAAACCATGTAGTTGGTATCACTGATGGCAGGACTGTGGGGAGACAGACACTCTTAGACGTGTGTTGCTATCAGTTGGTCTATTTTTGTATAAATTGACACAGCTTATTTTGGGGAGGGGGGAGTAGAAGAATCTTAATCCAAACTACTTATTTATTGACCCAAAATCCCAGTTCTAGGAATTTTTCTGACAGATCAGCTCGGGGTTGTGTGAAATAACTGATGGACGAAGTTATTTCTTTTTAAAAATATATATATTTATTGATTTCAGAGAGGAAGGGAGAGGGAGAGAAAGAGAGGATCATCAATGATGTGAGGGAATCATGGGCTGCCATCTGATTGGGACCAAACCCACAACCCAGGCATGTGCCTTTGACCAGAATCTTCTGTGGACCCTTCAGTCCACAGGCCAATGCTCTATCCACTGAGCCAAACCAGCCAGGGCACAATGTTATTTCTTAGAGCATCAGTTATAATAACAATAGTCACAGACAGTTCAGATGCCACCCATGGGGGCTCCTGTGCAGTGGAGGCTGCCCTGTGGGAGGAAACACAGACGTGCTCTCCATGCTGAAAGGGAAAGGTCCTCAGGGCCCACGATGCAGAGAAACAAGCTGTGGAGAAGCTTGCATAGATGCTGCCTGTGGTGTGAGCAAAACAAATAAGATGTTTATGTTTTTATATTTATATATACTAGAAGGAAGATTCCTGCAAGAATAGGGCTTCCTGCGGCCCTAGTATATGTGACAGAAAGAGTTCAGGGAACTTTAGGGAAGACAATGGTCATTGCTCCTCTTGAGAGACCTCATGACCCTTCAGGCCAATGGCTGAGGCTTTCCTTCCCCAGGCCCCTTCTTCTCCAGCACGAAGCCCTGGCAGGTGGCCTTTGGGGTGACCCTTGTGGCTCTGCTGGGGCTTCTTGCTGGGTTGGTGATCTCATGGTGGCAACAGCAGAAGAGAATCAGGGCCTTGAGCCAGGAGAAGGAGAGGGAGCGAGCTGAGAAAGAAGCAGCGCTGGCGGCGAAGGAGCATGAGCGAGCTGAGAAAGAAGCAGCATGGATGAAGGAGCAGCTGGAGCGAAGCAGCAAAGGTGAGGCCTGGCTGCAGGTGGGTGGGACCTCCCTGCCCCAGGCCACCCCCCGCCCCCAGGCGCGGGTCCCCCTCTCCATCTCCTTGACAGCACCTTCTCTTTCTGCTTATTTCCAGAGAATCTGCAGGAGGAGCTCAGTAAGTCCCAATCCCCCGCCAGGAGGGTTCTGGGGTCCCTGGTGACCCACCTCACCGACCCCTTCCATTTCTCCTGCAGGGTGGAGGAAGAAGCAGTACCTGGAGCGTGAGTACCTGGACCTGCCTCTGAGACTCTCTGCTGGGATCTATCCAGCCCCTTCCTCACCCCAGACCGCCCAGGGGAAGGAATGGGGACATTGATAGGGGAGGTCGGGCAGGGGGTTCCTCCCTGTAGAAAGGGGTCAGGCTCTCTCCACCAGGCCGCTCGCACCCAGATGTCCAGGGAACCCCAGAAAGGAGAGGAGGAGATGGATTCATGATGTGAGTCCTCCCTCCCTGGCTGCTCTACAGAGTCTATAAGTTGCTGAGAGGAAACCAGAAGGAGAGAGAACGTTCTCTTTTTTTTTTTTTAAATATATTTTATTGATTTTTTACAGAGAGGAAGGGAGAGAGATAGAGAGTTAGAAACATCGATGAGAGAGAAACATCGATCAGCTGCCTTCTCGTTAAGTCACCCAATTCTTTTTGGAAATAGGCAGGAAATCATGCAGATTGAGGAGGATGGGTTCTAGCACACGTATGCACACGGCAAGCCTAGCCAGGTACAGGAGAAAGACAGTGACCTCATAAGCCAGGTGCATGTGATCCATGACCAGTGGGTGCCTGGCCCACGGATAGCACTGCATCCTGTGCATAGTAGGTTTCTCCTTCTCACTTAAAGGAAGGCTTCTCATTGCCACACCCCAATGGCCAGCGTCACTGTAATGATGGGTCATTATTAAGTAACATCAGGGGACTTTCACACCAGCCCTGTGATGCTGAGGCAGATCTGACCACAGAACCGGCTCCTCAGTGACTAAGTGGCTCATGGGAGGAACACAGGGTGGACATGCTGGGCACAGGGATGGTTCTCAGGTTGGCATGTGAGAGACGGATGGCACAGGTGTCATCACACTGCCCAGAATGATGTGCAATTTAACACTTATGAATTGCTTATTTCTGGAATTTTCCATTTAATATTTTCCAACTGTGGGTGACAGAGGGTAACTGAAACTAAAGAAAGTGAAACGATGGTTAAAGGTGACTGCAGAACAAACACGTACAGGACAGACCTGCAGGTGCAGCTGGGAAAGCCCCACTCAGTGCCTGCAGGTCACTAGGTGCCGGTGACTTTAAAGAGAAGAGGGGAGCAGGGAACTGAACAGGAAGAGGGAGAGGGAGGTGGGGGGTCAAAGGGAAGAGAAAGGAAAGGACTCAGAAATGACAGTGGACGTGACCCTGCCTGTCTTCCTTTGCAGGTGACAGGTCTCAGGCCTATGCTGGTGAGTGACTCATGCTCTCTGGTTCCTGCACTTGTGTACAAAGCCCTTAAACCCTTTCTGTGCTGGTGAGGGATCATCAGACCGTGCTCAGAGCTCATGTTCTGTGGATGACCACCCTGCCTCTCTGGACACCCAGAGAGGACCTTCCAGATACAGCGTCCCCTCACCTGATGCCACACATGCCCACCAATGGGCACAGCCTGGCCCGTTACCCACAGCCCCACGTGATAGAGGGAAGCACAAAATTCTGAGAGCTTTTATGCCTCCTCCTCAGAGCTGTGGAGGAAGGAAACTAGCTACTGGTGGGAAGGAGAGAGAAGAGGCTCAGTGAGGAGAATGGTGGGGGCAGAACTGAAATGATGACCTTTCCTTGCCTGTGTCTCCTTCCTTTCAGAGTGGAAGATGGCCCTTTACCAACCTGGTGAGTGAGTCACTGTGTTCACTGGGACAACAACTTGGGGGCCTGGCTCCCTCTTTCTTCTCCAGCTCTTGACTGGGGGGCATCTGGGTGGGTGGCATGAGTGTGCGCTTCTGCTGCCAAGAGAGCCAGGGACAGCTGCTGCCCTGGGCTTCCCCAGGTCTGTGTGGGAAAGTGGAGACATGAGCAGTGGAGCTGGGGGCAGAGGCTGAAGGGAGTGGGACGAGGTGACCTGGCCCAGTTGCTGTACCTCCTGCCCTGAGCCTCCTCAAGGTGTGTCATGTCTCTGAGTCCCTTTGAGATGATGGTGGTCATTCCTACTATGTGAGGGTGGACATGAGACTAGACGAGGTGATGAGTGTGTGTTGGTCAAAACTCCAAGAGGGAGTCCATGGCCTGTTCTTGATGGGTATGTGTCTGAATGTAATGACCACAGTCAGGAGAAGGTTCTTAAGACCTAAAAGTGATGCAGGCGACTCCTTATATTATAACAGACTGTATTATAGAGGCATTTACTCACAGGGGCGTGGGATGGGAGCAGACAGACTACATGTCAGTCTTCATAGATTATTCGCCTCTAACGGACCTGTTACAGTACTTTTTTAACACACAACTTGGGTACTAATGATTGACAGGACAGAGGGGTAAAAAGTGTGGCAGCACCAGCCATACCTTCTGATGGTCTTGTGGTGGATGGTTCTTTATAATGGACTAGAGGCCTGGTGCACAAAAATTTGTGCACTCAGGGGAAAGGGAGGACCCTCAGCCTGGCCTGTGCCCTCTCGCAGTCTGGAACCCCTCAGGGGATGACCACCTGCTGGCTTAAGCCTGCCCCCCGGGGGATTGGGTCTAAGATGGGCAACACAGAGATGGATTTGGGTTGATTCAGCCACATCTGCCCCGTGATTACAGAGGGTTTAGGGAAGAACCTACTTACAGAGGCAGGGGTGGCATTAAGGGAAACCACAAGGAAGAGCAGTGCCCCAGGCTCACAGTAGTGGGAGCTGCCACCACCCCAGGCCCAAGGCAGAGGGACGGGGAGCAGTCCCTGGAGCCCTGAGGAGGCTGTGGCTCAGGGAGAGGCTGCCTGAGAGGAGGCTGCTCTGTTAGAGCTTCTCCATCACAGGACGTGGGGAGGTCGGGGCTGTTCCTCTTCCCTTCCCTCCAGTCTTCAACCAGCACTGCCCTTGGCCAAAGCCAGCAGGTGACCAGAGGCAAGAGAGCCCAGTGATGCTGCCCAAGGAGGATGACTCCTGGTCAAAGAGGGTGGGGCAGGTGGGGATTGAGGAACACGGGAGTGAGGATCACATAGAGCCCAGCATGGCCCAGCACAGCAGAGACCTGGTCCCTGTGATCACACCAGTTGCCTCCTCGATGCCTGGCCTTGGGCTAAATACCGAACACATTCTGTTTTATTCCACCCTGGAGGTGAGTATTTTTATTCCCATTTTACAGATATCACATTGAGACTTGGGACATTATATAGTGTGTGTGTGTGTGTGTGTGTGTGAGAGAGAGAGAGAGAGAGAGAGAGAAGAGACCAAGCAAAAAAGGAAGTCGTCCAGCTCAGGAGGGTAGGGCAAGGGCTGGAATTGAAATCCATGTGACTCTGCAGCACAGGTGGGCACAGCCATTCTGGGGAGGAAACAGGAGAAACAGAAGGAAGGTGGCCACTTGAGATGGCAGGTTGGGCAGAGCCCAGCCCCCCGCACGCTCCCCTCTTCACTGACCACCAGGCCCTGTGGTGTCTCTTGGCTTTGCTGAGGGTCACATTCAGGGCAGCTGGGACCCCAGGCTCTGGGCTCAGGTCTCACCAGCCAGACCCAAGCCTTGGAGCCTGAGGCTCTCAGATCCCGAAACCTTGGCTGACCCCACACCATTGGGACTCTCTGCAGCGGATGTGATTCTGGATCCCGACACTGCACACCCCAACCTCCTCATTTCTGACGACCAGAAGAGCCTGAACTATACAGATGCAAGGCAGAGCCTGCCAGACAACCCCAGGAGATTTCAGCATCATTTCTGTGTGCTGGGCCGTGAGAGCTTCACATCAGGGAGACACTTCTGGGAGGTGGAGGTGGGGAACAGGAAACAGTGGAATTTAGGGGTGTGTAGGGAGAACGTGGAGAGAAAACGTGATGTTAAAATGACACCCCAGAATGGATTCTGGACAATAGCACTGTTGGGTGGGCATGACTTCCAGGCTCGAACGGATCCCTGGAGCAAACTCACAATTGCCAACCCTCCTAAAAGAGTGGGGGTTTTCCTGGACTATGAGAGTGGGGAGGTCTCGTTCTATGATGCCATCAATGGATCATACATCCACACCTTCTCACAGACTTCCTTCTCTGGGCCTCTGTTGCCTCTTTTCAGGGTTTTCTTAGAGGAGCCCACAGCCTTGACCATTTGCCCAGCACAATAAGGAGTGGGGAGCTCCCTTGTGTCTGACCCACTGCCTGACCCTTCCCTGGAGACCCCAGTGGCCTCAGGCTCAGCTGATGGCATTGAGGACCCTCAGGCAGAAGAGAGGTCTTTGCTTCCCCCTGCCCAGCCCTGAGCTGAGGGCCTGCTTCACAGCCAATCCTCACAGCAGGAACATACTTACATCAGGAACATACTTACTAAAAACTCACTGAGTGAAGCACTTTCCTGGTTATCTTTCAACTTTTCCACATGACAGATGAGGAGACCAGGGTGCAGGGAGTTATCTTTCCAACGGTGACTCAGCTCCCTTTCTGCAGCCATAGCTGACATTCACAGATACTTAGAATGTGGTGGGTGCTGGGCTAAATGCTTCAGGTGAATCTCACTCCCCAATCCTCACAACACCCCTGTGAGGTGGCCTCATTGAAAGTGTGGAAAGGGAGGCAGGGCCCAGGGAAGTGACATAATTCATGCAGAAACTAGTGCTACTGGGAGGTGTTTGACCTCTGACCCTCCCTCTACCTCCAGTCTGTTCCTTTGCAGCCAGTTGTTCCTGTTGGGCAGGGTCATGGGCAGCCTGAGGTTCCCTTCCCAGGGCCCCAGGGTGAAGGTCACTGTAGGTGACTATGAAGGCCACACCCCATCTGGTTCCTTTTAGGGCAGCCGTGGGCAAACTATGGCCCGCGGGCTCGATCCGGCCCGTTTGAAATGAATAAAACTATTGAAAAAAAAGACCGTACCCTTTTATGTAATGATGTTTACTTGAATTTATATTAGTTCACACAAACACTCCATCCATGCTTTTGTTCCGGCCCTCCAGTCCAGTTTAAGAACCCATTGTGGCCCTCGAGTCAAAAAGTTTGCCCACCCCTGCTCTAGGGGGACTGTCAGAGCCATGGTCCACTGCTCCATCGGCTGGCTCTCCATGATGACGTCGTTCACAGAATGAATTCACAGTGACCGCATCACCTGGGGCTGAGAAGGGACTAGAGGCCAAACTCCTAACCAGCTTGTGACCTGTGATCATGATGCTGAACCAACCCTCCAGCTTCATCCCTAAAGCTCATGTGTGAGGCATGAATTTGGGGGAAGGGAGCCAGGTGAACTGCAGTGGAATTTTTATCACATTGTGGCCCATCTCCGGGAAAGGGACACTCCATACTGAGCATGCACTGATGTTCCCGGAGGTTCCTGTAACTGCTGGGTCCTGGGGAAAAGCCACTCCATCACCATTACTGTGATTGGTCACCACTGTGTCCCCTCCACCCGGCAGGTGGTGGTCAGGTTACACTTGTTAAATAAATTGGTTAATGGTCTTCACTCTGCATCTGAGCTTCTTCTAGATTTTCACACCCACAGCTTACCCACCACATTTTCACAAAATCCTTATTGTATCAGCTTTGTAAGCTGCTGTAATAAAAACAACACATTACAAATTTCATGACTTAATGCAACACAGGTTCCTTACTGCACATGTCTGTAGGTGGGAAGCCCAGCGTGGCTCTGGCTGGGAGGACATCCAGGTGTCTGCAGACTGGTTCCTTTCTGGAGGGTCCAGGGAACACTCTGTTTCTTGCTAATTCTGGTTGTTGGCAGAATTGAGTTTCCTGCAGTGGTGGGACCCAGGTTGCCATTCCTTGCTGGCTAGAAGAAGTTGGGGACCCTCCAGGCTGGGAGCATCCGGAGTTGTTTTTCCAGGAGGCAGATGTGAGGGAACAACTCAGGTGAAGGGAATGGGGACCAGAGTCCAGTCCTGGAGTCACTGCTAGTGGGGCTGTTGCTCGTGTGCTGACTGCTGTGTCAAAATTAGTCAGAAGGTAGAGGAGGCTCCAGAGAAAGCATTTAGGCACAGGTGGGGAATGGTATGAAATGTGCCTTGGGAAGACTATTCTACAAGAAATGTACACAGTGGCCCGAATGGGGTCCTGGGGCCCAGGAAGGGAGCATCAGGTGGGTGTGGGGTGCTGGGCCCACTAGACCATCCACTGGCAGGTCGAGCCTTTGCTGGCTGCCGTGGTCTGTGACACGGGTGCCACCTCCACAGGGAAACAGAGGGCTTCCTCCTCTCTGCTTCCTCCTGTCTCACTCCATGGTTTCCAAGAGTCACAAGGTCTCCATAGCAGCTGCTGGCTCATTCTCTACCCCCCAGCCCTTCTCCGAGTCCCCCAGCCCACCTGCTCTAAAGAGATTACTTGGTGATAGATCCTCCCTTCCCCCAACTGGTGGGTGGAGTATGAAGTAATCTGCGGCCTGGAAATACCTGAGTACCTAACCAGGCACCTTGTATGGACTATATATTGAACCACCAATCCACACCTGCCAAATACCCTAAGCCCTTGTTCCTATATGGACCATACATTAAGCCACCAATCAGCGCGCCCCGAGTACACTAAGCCCCCATTCCTTCCCATTCCGCCCCTCAAAAGGCATGCTCACCTCTGCACGTGCTGCTGTCCTCCCATTGTAAGATAGCCCGGCAGCTCTCTTTCCCCTAATAAAGCCTGTAATCCTGGTTTTTGGCTCCCCACTGGTCTCACAACCCCTTGCCCCCACAATGAGAGGACTCAGCACTAGATCATTTCACTCAACCTGGGGTAGGGCCACAACCTTAGTAACAAAGAAACAGAATTTCCGGAGGATGAGGCCCAGAAATCAGGATTTTAAAAAAGATTCCCAGGTGACTCTAATGTGCAGCCAAGGTTGAGAACCACTGGATTAGGGTATTTGGCAGGTGTTGATTGGTGGCTCAATGTATAATCCATATAAGGTGCCTGGTTAGACACTCAGGTATTTCCAGGCCGCAGGTTACTTCATACCCCACCCACCAGCTGGGGCAAGGGAGGATCTATCACTTGGCTTTGGGAAGAGGGTGGTTACATTCACCTCAACCCCTGCCCACCTCCAACCCCAACCACACACACGTGTACACAGGCCTCCGTCTTCATAGCAGCGACGCCACAGTCCACAGGGTACGGCAAGACTGAAGCATACATTCCATTCCTGGAAGGAAAGGAACTTGGCAGAGCTATTCTAGTGGCTCAGAGGCAGCAGGACAAAGTCGGGGTATTGCTTGAGACTTTGATGTTTAGCAGGCGGGGCAGGACAGGAGTTGATTAGGATTGGGTAAGGTCATGATGTCATAGTTTAGGATTGATGGATCCCAAAAAACAAGGATTTTGAGACCAGGTGTTCTAAGAGTCTTGGAATGTACAAAATTGTCATGTGATGCTTTGTTGAAGAGTTGATGGTTCTCTTAGAAAGTTTCTAAAATGAACGCTAAATGTACCTGCATTTTTTTAAACTTTGTTTTTATTGATTTCAGAGAGCCCAGCTCAGTGGTTGAGCCTCAACCTGTGAACATGGAGGTCGGGGTTCCATCCCTGGTGGGGGTGTGCAGGGGGCACCCGGTCAGTGATTCCCTCTCCATGTGTCTCTCTCCTTCTCCCTTCCTCTCCAAAATCAATAAACATATCATTTTTTTAAAGGGAAGGAAAAGGAACTAAAAGTCCAGATCATCTCAAAAAGCGATTCGCAATTATGCCTCTTTGCTGCTTATTCTACCCAGCAACCGATGACGAACAGACTCGGGACGCCATTGGCTGGCTGACCCAGGACGGTCCCTGGCAATCCTGGGACTCGGGTCCCAAAGGACACAGGTCCCGGTCCCCGGCCCCCCGGCCCTCCGGTCCTCCGGCCCCGGTTGGGGGAAGAGGGAGTTTTCCTCCCCGCGTGCGGTTTGCTCTGGAGCGGGTTACAGAAGGAGAACCGGACCGTCATTGAGCGTCCGCGGAGGAAAGGAGATGCCGCCCTGAAGTCCGACAGGTGGGACGGAGGGCGCTGCGCTCCCGTGGGGGCGGGGGCGGGAGGTCACGTGGGGGCGCACAGGCGGAGGGAGTCGGAGGAGGGGAAGGCGGAGAGGGAGGAGGGGAAGGGGGAGGGGCAGAGGAGAGGGAG